TTAAAGATGAAAATATTAGACGTAACACTAACCGAGAAGACAACGTCACTTTTGTCTTCCGAACAGTTAATCAAATAATACTTAGAATTATATTCAGGCTTCACTATATAACAAGCTCACACACTAAACTCTAGCCAAAGAGAAAAAATTCACTAATACACCACATATACTTCCCGTACCCATACAAGAAACCATTGCACAACAAACACGTAAACACACGCTTCCATGGTAAGACCAGTATGGTTAACATCATACATTGCAAATGTGCACTATCATATCAAGTACTGTATGGCTTATTCTTGTATTTTTCTTGTAAATATACTTCCAATAATGTATTATTCATGATTGCACTTTATACCACTTTGTAACTGTGCAGGATTTTCTCCTATTCCTGAAAGAGCTTTCAAGCATGCGGGGTTACAGTACTCACTCAAATATATGTTGTTTATCGATAGGCCATTACTATCATCAGGAAATGGAACGAAGTATGGGTTGTCGCTCAACTTCGATGGAGACCTTCGTGAAAGATTTACAAATTAACAATGATAGGAATCTGTTCCTATTGCTTGTACTATAATTCAACAATTTGAACTTTTTAAAATGTGATAATGTATGCTAATTCATAATTGTAATTCGTAATATAGTCGATCGTGCCTGTAAAAATGGCATGCATTTCATGTAAACTTACCCGTTTATACGAAAGGCAAAGTTAAACTTTCGACACCAGTAACAACTAATCAGAAAACGACCTTGAACGGACCAATCACATGAAAGAGACGTTTATGATAAGCGGAAATGTATATTTATAGAAAATTGCATGAAAATGATAAAACGGTTACAATGGGTATCTTTCCCGAACATGGGACAGGAACATTTCCCATTTCTGCCTGGGACTGTCGATAGAGAAGTCGCACCACATTCTATCCATATATTCATCTAAATGACTATAAATGAGATCCTTTTGAGATCCATTTATAGCCCTTATTCTACTTTTCAATCGACCCCAAAATCCTTCAATGGAATTTGTATGAGTCCCTGTAACTGGATCCACGAAATCACTGGAGTGGTTCACTCTCTAATGAATGTATCCCAGGGATAACAATGAATGATAGCCTTTCCACTCGTTGGTATGTACAATTGATTCCGGTTTCACAAGTCGCTTTATAATAGGTACCAGAGTAGTCGCCTTCCTGTCTTCTATTCCTTCAACAAATCCTTTTCGGAGGGACGTGTCGTATAAACCTATGACCCAAATGTTGTTCGCTCTCTGATGACAGCGGTTATATTTCTTCTTCACCAATACTGTCTCATCCACATGGACTACTACGTCGTCCCGGCCAAACAACGAAGTAATTCTGTCCATTTTCCATGAGGCGATGTCCCTGCAGTGCCAGTATACCACTGAACTGTTGAAACGAGGCTGTTCTCCGTCTCGGCAGCAGCGGCTCTCACAGGCTGTTTCAGTACCCAGTAATTGCAAATGTACAAAATCTGGGTTAGGGAGAGATGCGACCTAGCAAAACAATTTCCTACGAAATATTACCCTCTCTAATACTGACTCGCTTCCAGCATATTCCACAACGATGTACAAAACCATCAGTTGACCTAGTATAGCTTTTCAGAGTCATTACACCACCACACGAACAACTTCTCTCCTTTTGAGGCAAGCCTAAGTCCAGGCAATACTGAAAGACACTATCCTCCTCGAATCGCAAACGTAACCTTGTAAGGGCACGCATTGAAATGAATCAAGCGCTATACAACATTGGACTACTTTCGTGAATCTCATTGGATAATTCGACGTCGTTCGCTGATTGGTAGTTATTGGTGTCTAAATTTTAACTTGGACATACGAAATACGAATTATTATTACTAGTGCACACCAGTACGCCCACCAACCCGCTTAAGCTAGCTACTGAGTTTAGGTATCTAGGAATTACATCAGTACTCTTAGTTACCATCCTGATAAGCCCTATTATCGTTACCTTCCGAGGAACAAACTTTCTCAATATCCCCTAACAGTACCCTTATTAGCCGTGTTCACCTCCACTTGTCTAAATTGACTATCTTTACTGAGCGGCCATTCGTTCCTTCCAGTAAGTTCTGATACTACGATAACTAAGTCTCCAGCCTGCACATTCCTACTTATTTCCGTTAATTTGCGTCGTTATTGCGACAAGGAGACATATTCCTCGAACCAACTTTTCCAAAACATCTAAATAGCTGGATTGTCTCCGCCTTCTGGAGATCTTACCACTATGGTGAGCTAGAATAATACTTAACGAGGTCCACCTAGAACCCTACGTACTGTACGAATCACACGTTCGCAGACACCATCCCAATGGCTTACAGCCGGTTAGTTGCGATACAGATCTGTACTTCTACTAAACAAAACATTATGTCATTTTTCCATTCCTTTGAGAACCTATCTATTTTCATTTTCGCTCCCAACAAATAGATACCACCGTCACTGAATATTTCCTGCAGGTGGATCCCGTATCAATTAACCCCATCAGCGACATCATAAAGGACCAACTAGATAGGCTGCGTGATGCCTCTAGGTGTAGAGCTCGAAATTTCGGACAGCTGTAGCAATTTGCAGATCTCAGATTTCAGCGACATTCCCGGCTCTCGCTCATTCTGTTTGGTCATCGCTCGCTCCTTACTCAACAAAATGTTTGACTTCACGACATTATCCTTAATTAGCCACCCGTCTCTCGTTTTGATTACTGAAGTATGGTTCACTCCTTAGACTTGCGATAAGGACATCTCTATTGATAACTACTACCTATTCAGGGTTGACGGAAACCACACAGACCGGGTGGATGTGCTTCGCATGACACGTCTAATATTAAGGCCACACAGTGCTTCTACCCAGAACTCACCATGGATAACGACTCATTCTGAGGCT